CATAGAGATTCATTTTCAGATCTGATAGCAGACCTAGGACCTAGAACTATCATCTCTGTTTTGTCTGAGCTTAAAAGTAAAACATTTTACGGCATCCACTTCCTTATGTCTGAAACACAGGCTTCCAGGGTAGGCAATTTGGGGGTTTCATCGAAATGTACAGCTGTGTCGTCTGCATAGCAGTGAAAGTTGACATTGTGTTTCTGATTGACATCACCAAGAGGTAGCATATATAGTGAAAACAATAGTGGTCCTAGAACGAACCTTGAGGAACACCGAAACGTACCATTGATTTGTCAGAGGAAAAACCATCCACAGAGATGAACTGATATAATCTAAACCAAGCAAGAACTTGTCCACGTAGACCAATTACGATTTCCAATCTTTCCAAAATAATGTGGTGATTGATGGTGTCGAAAGCAGCACTAAGGTCTAGGAGCACGAGGATAGATGCAGAGCCTTGTTCTGACGCCATTAAAAGGTCATTTACCACCTTCATGAGTGTGGTCTCAGTACTATGATGGGGTCTAAAACCAGACTGGAGCTTTTCATATACATTATATGTCTTCAGGAAGGCAGCTTTTTCAAAAAATGTTGAGAGGAATGGGAGATTAGATATAGGCCTTTTTGGGGGGGGGTGGTCAAGGTTTGGATTTTTCAGGAGAGGCTTTATTACTGCTACCTTTAGTGAGTTTTGAACACATCCGGGGGATAGTGGGCTGTTTTATTATGTTCAACATAGGAGGGCCAAACACAGGAAGTATATATTTTAGTAGTTTAGTTGGGATAGGGTCCAGTAGACAGCTGGAAGGTTTAGAGGTCATGACTATTTTCGTGAATGTTTTGAGAGATACTGGATTAAAAAACTTCTCCATTGATCCTAGGTCCTGGCAGTTCTGTGCAGACTCAGGACAACTGAGTTTTGGATAAATATCCATATACAGTTGAAGTCGGAAGTTTACATACACTTAGGTTGGAGTCATTAAAACTTGTTTTTCAAACACTCCACAAATTTGTTAACAAACTAAAGTTTTGGCAAGTCGGTTAGGACATCTACTTTGTGCATGACACAAGTAATTTTTCCAACAATTGTTTACAGACAGATTATTTCACTTATAATTCACTGTATCACAATTCCAGTGGGTCAGAAGTTTACATACACTAAGTTGACTGTGCCTTTAAACAGCTTGGAAAATTCCAGAAAATGATGTCATGGCTTTAGAAGCTTCGGATAGACTAATTGACATCATTTGAGTCAATTGGAGGTGTACCTGTGGATGTATTTCAAGGCCTACCTTCAAACCTCTTTGCTTGACATCATGGGAAAATCAAAAGAAATCAGCCAAGACCTCAGAAAAAAATAGTAGACCTCCACAAGTCTGGTTCATCCTTGGGAGCAATTCCCAAACGCCTGAAGGTACCACATGCAGCTGTACAAACAATAGTATGCAAGTATAAACACCATGGGACCACGCAGCCGTCATACCGCTCAGGAAGGAGACGCGTTCTGTCTCCTAGAGATTAACGTACTTTGGTGCGAAAAGTGCAAATCAATCCCAGAACAACAGCAAAGGACCTTGTGAAGATGCTGGAGGAAACGGGTACAAAAGTACAGTGAGGGGAAAAAAGTATTTGATCCCCTGCTGATTTTGTACGTTTGCCCACTGACAAAGACATGATCAGTCTATAATTTTAATGGTAGGTCTATTTGAACAGTGAGAGACAGAATAACAACAAAAAAATCCAGAAAAACGCATGTCAAAAATGTTATAAATTGATTTGCATTTTAATGAGGGAAATAAGTATTTGACCCCTCTGCAAAACATTACTTAGTACTTGGTGGCAAAACCCTTGTTGGCAATCACAGAGGTCAGATGTTTCTTGTAGTTGGCCACCAGGTTTGCACACATCTCAGGAGGGATTTTGTCCCACTCCTCTTTGCAGATCTTCTCCAAGTCATTAAGGTTTCGAGGCTGACATTTGGCAACTCGAACATTCAGCTCCCTCCACAGATTTTCTATGGGATTAAGGTCTGGAGACTGGCTAGGCCACTCCAGGACCTTAATATGCTTCTTCTTGAGCTACTCCTTTGTTGCCTTGGCCGTGTGTTTTGGGTCATTGTCATGCTGGAATACCCATCCACGACCCATTTTCAATGCCCTGGCTGAGGGAAGGAGGTTCTCACCTAAAATTTGACTGTACATGGCCCCGTCCATCGTCCCTTCGATGCGGTGAAGTTAGCAGAAAAACACCCCCAAAGCATAATGTTTGACGGTGGGGATGGTGTTCTTGGGGTCATAGGCAGCATTCCTCCTCCTCCAAACACGGCGAGTTGAGTTGATGCCAAAGAGCTCGATTTTGGTCTCATCTGACCACAATACTTTCACCCAGTTCTCCTCTGAATCATTCAGATGTTCATTGGCAAACTTCAGACGGGCATGTATATGTGCTTTCTTGAGCAGGGGGACCTTGCGAGCGCTGCAGGATTTCAGTCCTTCACGGCGTAGTGTGTTACTAATTGTTTTCTTGGTGACTATGGTCCCAGCTGCCTTGAGATCATTGGCAAGATCCTCCCGTGTAGTTCTGGGCTGATTCCTCACCGTTCTCATGATCATTGCAACTCCACGAGGTGAGATCTTGCATGGAGCCCCAGGCCGAGGGAGATTGACAGTTATTTTGTGTTTCTTTCATTTGCGAATAATCGCACCAACTGTTGTCACCTTCTCACCAAGCTGCTTGGCGATGGTCTTGTAGCCCATTCCAGCCTTGTGTAGGTCTACAATCTTGTCCCTGACATCCTTGGAGAGCTCTTTGGTCTTGGCCATGGTGGAGAGTTTGGAATCTGATTGATTGCTTCTGTGGACAGGTGTCTTTTATACAGGTAACAAACTGAGATTAGGAGCACTCCCTTTAAGAGTGTGCTCCTAATCTCAGCTCTTTACCTGTATAAAATACACCTGGGAGCCAGAAATCTTTCTGATTGAGAGGGGGTCAAATTCTTATTTCCCTCATTAAAATGCAAATCAATTGATAACATTTTTGACATGCGTTTTTCTGGATTTTTTTGTTGTTATTCTGTCTCTCACTGTTCAAATAAACATACCATTAAAATGATAGACTGATCATTTCTTTGTCAGTGGGCAAATGTACAAAATCATCAGGGGACCAAATACTTTTTTCCTTCACTGTATCTATATCCACAGTAAAACGAGTCCTATATCAACATAACCTGAAAGGCCGCTCAGCAAGGAAGAAGCCACTGCTCCAAAACCGCCATAAAAAGCCAGACTACGGTTTGCAACTGCACATGGGGACAAAGATTGTACTTTTTGGAGAAATGTCCTCTGGTCTGATGAAACAAAATAGAACTGTTTGGCCATAATGACCATCGTTATATTTGGAGGAAAAAGGTAGGAGGCTTGCAAGCCGAAGAACACCATCCCAACCGTGAAGCACGGGGGTGGCAGCATCATGCTGTGGGGCTGCTTTGCTGCAGCAGGGACTGGTGCACTTCACAATATATATGGCATCATGAGGAAGGAAAGTTATGTGGATATATTGAAGCAACATCTCAAGACATCAGTCAGGAAGTTAAAGCTTGGTCACAAATGGGTCTTCAAAATGGAAAATGACTCCAAGCATACTTCCAAAGTTGTGGCAAAATGGCTTAAGGACAACAAAGTCAAGGTATTGGAGTGGCCATCACAAAGCACTGACCTCAATCCTATAGAAGATTTGTGGGCAGAACTGAAAAGGCGTGTGCAAGCAAGGAGGCCTACAAACCTGACTCCGTTACACCAGCTCTGTCAGGAGGAATGGGCCAAAATTCACCCAACTTGTTGTGGGAAGCTTGTGGAAGGCTACCCGAAACATTTGACCCAAGTTAAACAATTTAAAGGCAATGCTACCTAATACTAATTGAGTGTATGTAAACTTCTGACCCACTGGGAATGTGATGAAAGAAATAAAAACTGAAATAAATCATTCTTTCTACTATTATTCTGGCCTTTCACATTCTTAAAATAAAGTGGTGATCCTAACTGACCTAAGACAGGGAATTTTTACTAGGATTAAATGTCAGGAATTGTGAAAAACTGAGTTTAAATGTATTTGGTTAAGGTGTATGTAAACTTCCGACTTCAACTGTAGACTGATGGGGCAGCAGTGAGGGCTTTTCGATATTGCATGGTACCGTCTTTTCAAGCTAGTCGAAAGACTTCCAATTTGGTGGAGCGCCATTTCCGTTCCAATTTTCTGGAAGCTTGCTTCAGGGCTAGGGTATTTTCTGTATACTATGGAGCTAGTTTCTTGTGACACATTTTTTGTTTGTTTCTAGCGGTGCGACTGCATCTTGGGTATTACGCAAGGTTGAGTTTAGATCCTCGGTTAGGTGTTTAACTGATTTTTGTACCCCGACATCCTTGGATAGGTGGAGGGAGTTTGGAAGGGCATCAAGGAATCTTTGGGTTGTCTGAGAATTTATAGCGCAGCTTTTGATAATCCTTGGTTGGGGTCTAAGCAAATGTTTTGTTACCATTGTAAACGTAATAAGATGGTGGTCCGATAGTCCAGAATTATGAGGAAAAACATTTAGATCCGTAATATCTATTCCACGGGACAAAACTATGCGTGGCAATGCGTGTGTCCCGAGACATGTTGGATAAAACCCACCGAGTCGATGATGGCTCCGAAAGCCTTTTGGAGCGGGTCTGTGGACTTGTCCATGTGAATATTGAAGTAGCCAAAAATGTGAATATTATCTGCCATGACTACAAGGTCCGATAGGAATTCAGGGAACTCAGCGAGGAACGCTGTATATGGTCCAGGAGGCCTGTAAACAGTAGCTATAAAAAGGGATTGGGTAGGCTGCCTAGATTTCTCCCCCCTCTCTCTTTCCTCTCTACCCTCTTTCCCCTCTCTCTTTCGCTCCCATCTCGCTCTCGCTCTGCTCTCTCTCTCCCCCTGTCTCACTTTTCCCTTCATTTTTTTGTTCTCCACAGGCAACAAATCTTTCAACATGATGTCCCCCACCGGAGACAACTCGGAGCTGCTGGCCGAAATAAAAGCAGGGAAGAACCTGAAGCCCACTCCACACAGTAAAGGCTACACCACCGTCTTCTCCAACAGCGGCCCGCCGGGCAACAACGTAGGTGGCTTCAATACCGACACAATAGGTATAGGAAAGGGAAAGGGGGATACCTAGTCAGTTGTACAACTGAATGCATTCAACTGAAATGTGTCCGCATTTAACCCAACCCCTCTGAATCAGAGAGGTGCGGGTGGCTGCATTATTCGACATCCACGTCATGTCAGATGATATGTTAATTGTAGCAGACACTTTATCCACACTTCACAGTGACTTATGATTCACATATTCTGTATGGGTCAAATGCTAACTTCTACTTAAGTCAAATTTTCACTTGCTTTGGTGTCAATGGGAGAGACTAAGTGAAAATTAGACTTAAGTAGAAGTTAGGATTTGCCCCTAAGTACGTATTCAAGGAAAAACATGTTACAAGCTCCAGCATGCTGTTACCATGCTCCAACCAACTGAGCCATCAGAGTGGATACTGTAGTATTAGCAAAGCAGTTTGACTCCTTCTGGAAAATGAGGTTCAGTAATCTTTGTTGGAGGTAATATGGGATCACTAGTCACTTAGCCCTTCTTAAAAGCGACATTCAAAAAGCATTCTATCATTTGGTCTGTTGTTGTTGACCATAGAAATGTTCAAACAAACTATGCCATCATATCTACTTACCAACGCAGGAGTTAGTGGTTGTAGCCAGAGTAGAACAGTAAGACACACCCCCTTTGACGTTGTCCAATAGTGCTCGTCTTACTACTGAATGTGGGAAGAGCAAGAGCCAAAACACAGAAATATTAAAACCAAAGATATACTTGTGAGTGAATCGGGATATTTTACCTCAGACAGTAGTAGAAGTAGTCAGAACTGAGTATTAGGAGAGACCGTAACTTCGTTTACACTTGTCGACTGCCAATATATAATCATTGTTTGCAGTAAGCCGAGGGAAATGGTTATGTCATTATAACCAGGTTGTACAGCTAAGACTGGAGGTAGTTGTAGTCAATATCCACAAGGCTGCTGCTGGATTTGCAACCCATATGTAACAATACTACATTTTACTACAGAATACTACAGTACTTACTATAGAATTCTGTAGTATACTGTAGAATACTATACTACACACTGTAGTATCCCTCGCATGTGTAGTACTTACTATTGAATGTTGGAGAATACTCTAGTAAATACTACAGTAATGTCTGCAAAAACACTACAGTAAATACTATAGTATATACTACAGTTTTATTTTACTACAGTATTTATACTATAGTTAACTGTAAATACTACAGCATACTACAGTATAGGATCCCAGATTGAGTGCACACCGTCGATTGACCCATGAAACCTCATTGAAGTGACTAGACACACTCTGCAACATGAGACCCGCTCGCATTCCACATGATCAACATACAGTGCCTTCGTAAAGTATTCAGACCCCCTGACTTTTTCAACATTTTGTTAGGTTACAGCCTTGTTCTAAAATTGATTAAATTGTTTTTTCCCCCTCATCAATCTACACACATTACCCCATAATGACAAAGCAAAAACAAAACAAATATTATTACTTTTATTTATTATTATTACTTTTTGCTAAAGTATTCAGACCCTTTACTCAGTACTTTGTTGAAGCACCTTTGGCAGCGATTACAGCCTCGAGTCTTCTTGGGTATGACGCTACAAGCTTGGCACACCTGTATTTGGGGAGTTTCTCCCATTCTTCTCTGCAGATCCTCTCAAGCTCTGTCAGGTAGGATGGGGAGCGTTGCTGCACAGCTATCTCTCCAAAGATGTTTGATCGGGTTCAAGTCCGGGCTCTGGCTGGGCCACTCCTGCATTGTCTTGGCTGTGTGCTTAGGGTCATTGTCCTGTTGGAAGGTGAAGGTGAGCCTTCGCCCCAGTCTGAGATCCTGAGCGCTCTGGAGCAGGCTTTCATCAAGGATCTCTCTGTACTTTGCTCCGTTCATCTTTGCCTCGGTCCTGACTAGTCTCCCAGTCCCCTCCGCTGAAAAACATCCCCACAGCATGATGCTGCCACCACCATGCTTCACCGTAGGGATGGTGCCAGGTTTCCTCCAGACGTGACGCTTGGCATTCAGGCCAAAGAGTTCAATCTTGGTTTCATCAGAATAGAGAATCTTGTTTCTCATGGTCTTGAGAGTCTTTAGGTGCCTTTTGGCAAACTCCAAGCGGTTTGTCATGTGCCTTTTACTGAGGAGTGGCTTCCATCTGGTCACTCTACTATAAATGCCTGATTGGTGGAGTGCTGCAGAGATGGTTGTCCTTCTGGAAGGTTCTTCCATCTCCACAGAGGAACTCTAGAGCTCTGTCAGTGACCATTTGGTTCTTGGTCACCTCCCTGACCAAGGCCCTTCTCCCCCGATTGCTCGTTCTGGCCGGGCGGCCAGCTCTAGGAAGAGTCTTGGTGGTTCCAAACTTCTTCTATTTAAGAATGATTGAGGCCACTGTGTTCTTGGGGAACTTCAATGCTGCAGGCATTTTTTGGTACCCTTCCCCAGATCTGTGCCTCGACACAATCCTGTCTCGGAGCTCTACGGACAATTCCTTCGACCTCATTGCTTGGTTTTTGCTCTGACATGCACTGTCAACTGTGGGACCTTTATATAGACAGGTGTGTGCCTTTCCAAATCATGTCCAATCAATTGAATTTTCCACAGGTGGACTCCAATCAAGTTGTAGAAACATCTCAAGGATGATCAATGGAAACAGGATGAACCTGAGCTCAATTTCGAGTCTCATAGCAAAGGGTCTGAATACTTATGTAAATAATTTTTGTTTTTAATTTTTAGTACATTAGCAACAATTTCAAAAAATCTGTATTTACTTTGTCATTATGGGGTATTGTGTGTAGCTTGCTGAGGATTAAAAAAATATGTAATCCTTTTTAGAATAAGGCTGTAATGTAACAAAATGTGGAAAAAGTCAAGGAGTCTGAATACTTATAATATAATATGCCATTTAGCAGACGCTTTTATCCAAAGCGACTTAGTCATGCGTGCATAAATTTTTTTTTTGTGTATGGGTGGTCCTGGGGATCGAACCCACTACCTTGGCGTTACAAGCGCCATGCTCTACCAGCTGAGCTACAGAGGACTACTTTCCGAAGGTACTGTACTCTACTGCACTGTACTGTACTGTACAGTGTGACAATTGTCCCTTTTGAGACTAACCAGACGGTGACCTCAGCCATTTGCACATATCACAATATGATCATTTAACACTTGGTCAAATGATGACTCACTGATGGTTGAACAAACATGTCACTGGATGGTTGCTTTTAATGCTGTTGACTGTGCACTCTGTCACTGTGGAGAAGAATTGAGGAAGTCTAAAACTCTGTGACCTGACTCGAGCCATTGTTCTCCTCCTGGTAGCAGAGCTGGCCTCCACCCCCACGCTTGGTTGCATAACATGGAGTCAGCCCAAAGCATCCACTCAGCGAACACAATAAGCAATTCAATACTAGTGGCGCTCTGTGTGGGCGTTGTCTTGTCTTCTTAATTGCTGTGTGACACATCAAAGCAACGTGTTAGGTTCTCCAGTTATTCTATAGGCACTCTGGCTCATTTCAAATACACTCCCCTAAGGTTTTATTTGGCTCTATACTCCAGCATTTTGGATTTGAGATCAAATGTTTTATATGAGGCGACAGTACAGAATGTCACCTTTTATTTTAGGGTATTTTCGTGTATACAGTTGCGACCAAATATATTGGTACCCTTGCACTTTTCTTAAATAATTCCCTATTTCTTCTCAAATAAGTTGAAATGTAAAAACACTTTTAGTTCTCCACACCTTGTTTATTCGATTTTCAACATTGCTGAACCAATTGTATTTTTGTAAACTTAAAGGGAAATTTCACTGCTGCTCTATTTCAGTATATATATGACCATTAATATGTTATTAACTTATCATGTGTGTCATAAAAATTGCAACATGCAAATACGAGCGTTTCTGCATCTCACCGGTATAAACGGGCCATCTAAGATTCCTGGTTGTAAGCAAACCACAATATCCAGAATTCATAGCGATTTCAGGACGTAGTGGAGAAATATCAAAATGTCTGTGTTTGTGTTGAAACTGATGGGGTTGCCAGGTTGTCGAACGTTGAAAAGTGAAGCTATTCCATTGATATTCCCCATCACTTCAAAGAGGAAGGCACCCGATCAGCCAACATCAGTGCAGCAGAAACAAAGTCAATCTGAGGTAAAGGTAGCTAACTAGCTACATTTGTTTATCTAAACCAAAATCTAACTAGCTAGCTTTCATAATAAGCTGGCTAAACATTCCAAAGCAAATCAATGTAATTAGCCAGCTGCTATCTGGCGACATGATTTGTAACTTTGCAATGTTAGCTTCGTTAGGTTGCGTTAGCTAGCTACAGCCTACCGGACTGTATCTAACCGTTAGCTAGCTAGCGAACTAACTACCACAGAGGCTAACATGATTGTGTTTAGAGTCCGATCCCATCAACACCTGCCGAGGCATCAACATCAAGCTCAGCACCAGGAGCTATTGTAAGTCACCTTTGCTAAATCTTTCCATGACTCGATGATGAACAAATAAATACACTGGAGCTAGGCATAAACATGGTCAGTGTCTTGTTGTTATAGTTGATGTGTTTACAAGTAAGCTACAACTTCAACTGTAGTTTTCTCAATATTATGGAGGCTTAGTTGATAGTTCATGCAAAGCTTGAAAATGGAAAAAATAGGTATTAGGTGTGACTGACTGGTGTGTGAAGGTTAGTATGCATGATCTATTGACATGAGGGGGGTGGGTAGATATAGTACCTTGTTTGAGTGTGTATTGATGGGGACAAAGTAGTAAAATGTTGGCTAATCACTGACTACTGTGTGTGCTACAGACTAATCCTGCTGCTGATGACGATGACCTTAACACCAGCTTTAGTAGTACAGAGCCCGTAGACCCATTGGATTAAAGCTTTCAGCCGGGAACAAGCTCAACATCATCTGACTCGGAAACAAGCCAGGACAGCCAAAGGCTTTTATGAAAGCACAATACCCTCTTGAGAAAACAAAATCACCAATACACTACACTGTCTACAAGACAAGTGCTCCTCAAACTTTTCACACCCTTGTAGTCAGTTCTTTGGCATGGGTAGAGGGGCTGTTAGTATACACTTCTAGCCTATTAATTCTTGTTGGCAGTGTTTGTCTACTCAACAGCACAACTGTAGGTGCTCATACACAACAATACACGACTAGACTGTCTACACGTCAAATCCCCCTCAAACTTTTCACATCTTTGTTAGCAGCCCATCTCAAAGCCCCATTATTGACTCTGAGTGTAACAAAACACATACCAGTCTACTGTACCCTGTTTTGTTTACAGATTTAACATGGTTTCTTGTATGGTTACACATCCTCTTGATCAGTCTTCATGTTTTACACATCCTCATCATCAGTCTTCATGTAATAATAATAATAATATGCCATTTAGCAGATGCTTTTATCCAAAGCGACTTACAGTCATGCGTGCATACATTTATTTATGTATGGGTTGTCCCGGGGATCGAACCCACTACCTTGGCGTTACAAGCGCCGTGCTCTACTAGCTGAGCTACAGAGGACCACGTCTTTCCAGGAGACTTGCAGTACAAACAATTATTCTGCAAGAGGTCAAAGCAGTGGGTGGTGAAGAAAGTGTACAAGCCCAGAACGCACCACTTCAGGGAGAGGCTTGTCCACCTAGTTATGGAGTGCAGAAAATACCAGACTGTTGTCTACAAGAAGCCAGAGTCACAGCTCCCCAAACCCTGCCAACATTGCCACAGCACCACAGCCTGCTAAACCAGATGCCATTACCCAACACAAGAAGAGGTGCACCAGCTGAAGAACATTCTGGAACCTGCCTGGAACATTCAACCAACACAACATCTATATTCAATTAGACTGATGTTGTAGTATAATATAGAATACCTAGTATGCTCACAACTGCATTGTGGTATAGATATTGGTAGCGTTTGTACATATGTATATAATGGTGTTTTTTATAATATATGTGTACTGACAAGTGAGTGAATGATTCCTACTGCATCAGAAACCAATAGTGTTGAGTTCAACCTCTGGATCAAAGCATTGTGATATTCATGAAATGTATTTGGATAAACTAGCTACAATATTACTGCTAAAACAAATGATGCAGGGAGTTGGCGTATCATTGACATTTTAATTTGTTGGCAAGTTGTTGGCAAACATGTTTAAATAAAACAGTAGATTAGTCTGTCAATATAGCAAATAAGTAGACATGGCTTCGAGACAGTTTATTTGCTCTGGAGACTGAGGTGAGTTTACACAGCAGTATGCAGGAACAGTTATGGCAATGTATGACATATACAGTAGAAAAATATACTACTAGCGCCTATAATAAATACTTAAGTTCTACAAAGGGAATACTTGCATATGGTGTGTTTGGGTAGTGCAGTGAGGTGTTCGCAGTCACTTTGATACAAGGGGTAATTGTTGTTATGGGACCTTTCACGTCTCCTCTTGAGTCATCAACTTCTTTGTATCCAAGTGGTATTGTCTGTGAGGGAGACAAAAACGCTATTAGACATTCATGGGCAAATATTGCGTACTGTCTATTCCTACTGTAGCAGCATGATGTAATAATATGAGATCTCTCACAGACACACATTAGCTAGCTAGCTACAACACACAGGTATAGTTACTCCAAGACTAATATGAGTCATAAAGCCAAAGTCATTCCTTTACTCTCTCATCAAAATATTTATCCAGTTTTGCGCCTAATGAGATGCACAGAGGTTAGCTAGGCTCTATTGAACAAGGGCAACCATATCTACTCGCTGCTAGCGTGATCATGCAACGGCGAAACACAAAGGCCACAATAATTGCTACAAAACATGACTACATTCATTTTTAGAACAGACAGCAGGCTCAATCAACCAATGGTTGAACTCTCCCGGTGTGAAAATTCTAAAATACTGCTATAGTGCATAATTATGTCTGAAACACCTCTCATCAATCAGAATTATGTAGGGATACTGGAAAAACACCCAAAATAGTGTCTAGCTGTGAAGTTTACCTTTAAGTTTACAATTGTAATTTAGAAAATAAAGACAAGGCATGGACAAAATTATTGGCACTCCGGAGCTAGTATTTGGTTATACAGCCTTTGGCCAAGATAACTGCAGACAAACGCTTCTTGTAGCCATCAATGAGCTTGCTTCACCTTTCTACTGGCAATTTGGCTAACTTTTCAGCAGAAAACTTCTCTAATTCTTCCATGTTTGAGGGGTGCCCTCCACCAACTGCTGTTTTCAGCTTTTGCCATAGGTTATGGATGTGATTCAGATCTGAACTCTTCGTTGACTACTCGAACAGCCCAGTGTTTCTTATTGAACCATTTCAGGGTACTTTTGATGTGTGTTTGGTGTTGTCCTGCTGGAGGATCCACAACCTTCAGCAGACACACCGTTTTTGGACCATGGGTTGAACATAGCATTCCAAAACACCCTGATAATCTGCTGATTTCATGATGTCTTGCACACGTGCAGATCTGAATCACATCCAAAACCTATGGCGAGATCTGAAAACAGCAGTTTACTAAAATAAAATTGGTTCTGCAATGTTGAAAATCCAATAACAAGGTGTGGAGCCCTTTTTTTTCTTCAAAGAAATAGGGAATTATTTAAGAAAAATGCAAGGGTACCAATATATTTGGCTGCAACTGTATCTGTTTTACCATTTTAGAAATGAAAGCAGTTTATGTATTATTCGCCCCATTTGAGGGTGTCATAAGTATTTGGACAAATTCACATAGTGTATTAAAGTAGTCAAAAGTTTAGTATTTTGGTCCCATATACCTAGCTTGTTGGATGAATTTGCAGTTTGTTTTGGTTGTGTTTTGGATTATGTTCAATAGAAATTAATGGTAAATAATTAATTGTGTCATTTTGGAGTCCCTTTTATTGTAAATAAGAATATAATGTTTCTGAACACTTCTACATTTGATGTGTACCATGATTACGGATAATCATGAATAATGATGAGTGAGAAAGTTAGAGGCATAAATATCATACCCCCCCCAAAAATGCTAACCTCTCCTGGTTAGCATGTTCTGGGGGAATGATCTTTGTGCCTCTAACTTTCTCACTCATTATTCACAATTCATTCAGGATTATCCGTAATCATGGTAGCATTAATGTAGATGTGTTCAGAAATATTATATTCTTATTTACAATAAATGTGATTCCAAAATGACGCAATTCATTACTTACCATTAATTTCTAGCACAACCAAAATACATTTGAAATGCATCCAACAAGTTTGTAGAGTAACAAGCAAGCTTGATGTGGTCATTGCGCACTAGGAATATGGGACCAAAATACAACACTTTTGAATGCTTTAATACACTAAGTTAATGTTTCCAAATACTTATGGCACGTTTTAAATGGGGGACTAGATGCACAAGGTGATTTCATTCCTAAACGGTAAAACAGGTATGTATGGAAATACCCTCAAATAACAGGTGACATTCTGTACTGTCACTTTAAATAAAACATTTGCTCTCAAATCCAAAATGCTGGAGTATAGAGCCAAATTAAACGTTTTAGCTTCACTGTCCAAATAAATACATAGGGGAGTGTACATACATAAATATCTTGGTTTCTGTCATTCGTCAATGTTGTAGATTCTATGAAGTTGTATATTGCAACTGAGCCCATGTAGTTTAAGCCAAGGACAAATTCCTGTTTGACTTTTATACCCCTCCCCTCCTCTGCCACCCTCCAGGGAGAGAGCCCTACGTCCCCGCCCCAGACCCGCACGGTCAGCCCGCCATCAGCCAAGCCCACGTCCCCGCCCCCCGCCACTTCACCACCCACCACCCCCAGCCCGGTTGGCACCGGCACGCCCCGGACCCTCTCCACCTCCCAGAGCAGCGAGCAGCTCCTCAATGGGAATGGCAGCGGAGCAGCGTCGGCATCTAGCCTGATGGGCCAGACCCGGAAGGGTAGCCTGGCGGACGTGGAGGCCCTAGTGCCCACACACGACGAGCAGGGCCGGGCCATCCCCGAGTGGAAGAGGCAGGTGATGGTGCGCAAGCTCCAGGTCAAGATGCAGGAGGAGGAAGAACACAAACGCAAGGTAGGCGTTAATGGAGAGGGGGTGAGAGAAAGATAGAAGTCTGAGTGTGATGAGAAAGATTCACAGTTTCAGCTCTCCTTTTTGTGCTACTGTCACATAACTGGTGCTGGGGGAATACCAGGGTCAAAAGAGGTTAAAAGGGTTTGAAAGCACAAGGAGGATTGCTGAAATGTGGGTTGGTGTGCGATTTTGGTGGGTTTGTTTTGTTTGAACGCATGCTCAAGCCTTTGCTGTATCTTTTGAAAGAGCTTGATATGGCCATCACTGCATGTCAATATAGGATATGGATTATATTCCTTAAAGGGAGCTGGGTTTGGTTTGAGTAAGAACATAGTTGTGGTGCTTCTGATGTTTTATGGCAGTATCTGATGGTTGATTTTATAATCTGAATCGATTTGTTGATTTTATAATCTGTTTAGAAGTAGGCAGGTTGTAGTCAGATGATTGATTAGTTGGGTTTGAGGACTTCTACACGAGCAGTCTACTTTAATTCATTACTTTTAAGTTTTAATATACAGTGCCTTCGGAAAGTAGTCAGACCCCTTGACTTTTTTCATATTTTGTTACGTTACAGCCTTATTCTAAAATTGATTTTTCTACACACAATACCCCATAATGACAAAGCAAAAACAGGTTTTTAGAAATTCTTGCAAATGTATTACAAATATAAAAAGGAAATATCACATTTACATAAATATTCAGACCCTTTTCCTCTCATCAATCTACACACAATACCCCATAATGACAAAGCAAAAACAGTTTATATTTTAGTAAATGTATTAAAAAGAAAAAACTGCTAACATTTACATATGTATTCAGACTCTTTACTCAGTACTTTGTTGAAGCACCTTTGGCAGCGATTACAGCCTTGAGTCTTCTTGGGTATGACGTTACAAGCTTGGCACACCTGTATTTGGGGAGTTTCTCTCATTCTTCTCTGCAGATCCTCTCAAGCTCTGTCAGGTTGGAGGGGGAGCGTCGCTGCACAGCTATTTTCAAGTCTCTCCAGAGATGTTTGATCAGGTTCATGTCCGGGCTCTGGCTGGGCCACTCAAGGACATTCAGAGACTTGTCCCCAAGCCACTCCTGCGTTGTCTTGGCTGTGTGCTTAGGGTCGTTGTCCTGTTGGAAGGTGAACATTTGCCCCAGTCTGAGGTCCTGAGTGCTCTGGAGCAGGTTTTCATCAAGGATCTCTCTGTACTTTGCTCCGTTCATCTTTGCCTCGATCCTGACTAGTCTCCCAGTCCCCTCCGCTGAAAAACATCCCCACAGCATGATGCTGCCACCACCATGCTTCACCGTAGGGATGTGCCAGATTTCCTCCAGAACATAGACGCTTGGCATTCAGGCCAAAGAGTTCAATCTTGGTTTCATCAGACCAGAGAATCTTGTTTCTCATGGTCTGAGAGTCTTTATGTGCCTTTTGGCAAACTCAAAGCGGGTTGTCATGTGCCTTTTACTGAGGAATGGCTTCCGTCTGGCCACTCTAACAAAAGGCCTGATTGGTGGAGTGCTACAGAGATGGTTGTCCTTCTGGAAGGTTCTCCCATCTCCACAGCAGAACTCTAGAGCTCTGTCAGAGTGACCATCGGGTTCTTGGTCACCTCCCTGACCAAGGCCCTTCTCCCCCGATTGCTCAGTTTGGCCAGGCGGCCAGCTCTAGGAAGAGTCTTGGTGGTTCCATACTTCTTCCATTTAAGGATGATGGAGGCCACTGTGTTCTTGGGGACCTTCAATGCTGCAGACATTTTTTGGTACCCTTCCCCAGATCTGTGCCTCGACACAATCCTGTCTCGGAGCTCTATGGACAATTCCTTCGACCTCATGGCTTGGTTTTTGCTCAGACACGCACTGTCAACTGTGGGACCTTATGTAGACAGTTGTGGGCCTTTCCAAATCATGTCCAATCAATTGAATTTACCACAGGTAGACTACAATCAAGTTGTAGAAACATCTCAAGGATGATCAATGGAAACAGGATCCACCTGAGCTCAATTTCGAGTCTCATAGCAAAGGGTCTGAATAATTATGTAAATAAGGTATTTATGTATTTATTTTTTTATTTTAATTTTTCTACAAATCTGTTTTTGCTTTGTCATTACGGGGTATTGTGTGTAGATTGCTGATTTATTTTTATTTAATCCATTTTAGAACAAGGCTGTAACTAAACAAAATGTGGAAAAAGTCAAGGGGTCTGAATACTTTCCAAAGGCACTGTTTGTGATTAGATGAATGACAATCCTTTTCAGAGGTTATGTTTTAAGTCTTTTTATGGGTCAATAAGTTAGTATGTGTAGTCGAAGTCTCTGGTCTGCCTGGCTGCTTGCTACTAGTATCTGTGCCCTTAGTATCGGCTACTATTACCTGTGGGAGCTTGAACATAAATTATTCTTCACAATTGCAGCAGTTTATCATAATACAAGTAACACAATTGTGTCTTGAACAATAAAAACATTAATAATTGATTGACAGGTTAGAACTGTGCATGTATTCCCCATGGCGAATGTCCCTAAAGCAGTTTGAGGGATTCTTTGCTAATGTCCCTCTTTTAGGACTATTGATAATAGGCCTATCAGGTGTTTGTTAATTTATATATTCTATATTTTATTTAAACATATCACTATCAGATTGCTTTGTTTTGACTGGAACGTTGAATATGATTTCAGATACTTAAGTCAGTACCTGTTCCATCCAAGATGTTGGGCATTGACAACTGTACTAATATAGTGACAGATGCCTTAATTATTTTTAAGTCCATGAAGAACCCATACATGGTATGCTGATATAACCATTTCCGAATGTATGAGTACTATCTAAATGATGCTGAATGTAATTGTAGCCCTTCCATCAGGCCATGCAGATACTGTATATCCTGCTTTGGTATATTGAGTTCATGGGTCACAACAAATGCATGCATTCTTTTTTATTTTACTTGAGTTTTGTGCTGAACCCAGGCCCTGCAGAGTGTGGTGAAATGCATACTTACAGGCTACGGTGCCCATTCCAATACTAGCCCGTTTAAAAGCCTGACATGCAGTAGGATCTGGCTGACGGCTTCACAGTGTGGCTAGTACTCGGAGATGGAGCAGTGCAGCTCTAAGTCGTTACATGCTGATTCAGTGGTGTGATGCAAGGCCTATTCACACTAGCTCAATGTCCATCCACTCACTCCACGTTATCTACTTCTTTGAGGATGCTTCTGTGGGTTTCTTTTTTGCTATGGATAAGCCTATTAAAACTCCCTATAAAACCAATAGTGATTTATAAAACAACCCTATTCTCACACAATTATAATGAAATACTAACTAGGAAAGAGAATAATTAATTTGCCCCAATGATCAAAACAGAATAGTGAACTTTTTTTTATCATGACATCAAACTTGAACATTCTATTTGAAGGTCTGCTTGTAAACAGCTTATAACCATTAATTACATAGTTTGTTAACCATTTAAATTAAATAGATACATGTATAAGCCTGATCCTCTCTGTCATAATTGATTTATTCATATACAAATAATATTGAATGATTTACAAACTGTTAACTAATAGTTAAACTATTAAATAATTAATTATAAGCAGTTTAAAAGCAGACCTCCAAATAAAGTGAACCCATACACCCAACCATATTCAGCCAGCAGTTGTGCGCTGAGGATTTTTCCACCCTGCTTTCATAAAGGAGTAGCCTCTGCCCTGACTCTCAGCTAATCTAGGAGGTATGAAGCTTGTACTGAGGCAGTGCCATTGCACCACTAAATCCATGTAAATCCTGTGTGACGAGGAAGTATGAACATGCGCCGTGTGTTAACAGTACGCCAGGAAGTGCAAGCTGAAGGAACTTCCCCCTTCCCCCCTCTTTTCTGTTGTTCTTTGCTGTCCCTTGACCTCTGATCTAGTTTGCGGCCAGTGGACACTACCAGCCTCAGGAGTGGCACTACTCTCACGTCCACAATGCCATCCTGGGCCCCTTCGGAGAGCTGATGATGGAGGACGACCTCATCCGCATTGAGAAGCAAATCGAGAACTTGCAGGTCATGCACAAGGTGACGGAGGTGGAAAAGGAACTGGAAGAGTTGGAGCGAGAGCTTCAACAACTCCTTCCCGTGTCTGCCGCCCTCAACCAGGAGCACTTCTACATCAACCCCAAGCAAGTTCACGGGCAAGCGGAAGATCTACCAGCCTGGTGCAGCAAAATCTCAACGCTGCTCAAGAGCATGGCTATTCTCCTGGCCACCCTGGGAGGCAAGACGATAGACATCTTGGATTTGATATCTCCCGGATACGCTCAGGAGGAAGCGAGTAACAATAGGATGGGCCAGATGACCCCAGCAGTGTCCATTGCCACTGGGGTCATTGGACGATCCCAGTCGTTCTCCACCAGGGAGGAGGTGGAGAAGGAGATCAAGCAGTGTGGTGTCTCTGTGAAGAACCTGAAGGCCAACTATGAGATTAAGAACCAGTTCCAGTTTGCCGACGACAAAACGAACCGGGTGTACAAGCGCAAGAGGTCCCTCCCTGTGGTGAGCGAGTCCAGTTATCGCCCCGAGCCGATTCAGGAGGACGAGGTCCCGTGTTCCCCTGCAGAGGCCCTCCAGTCCCCTAACAACGGAGTCCTTCCTCCAGTCCAGGAATCTCTGCCTCTGGTGGAGGAACCTCTAATCATATCATCTCATGCTCCTCTTACATACCAGTCTTCCGAAGTGATCCCTGAGTCAGATCAGTTCAACCAGGTTCTGTCTACAGACCCTATACTGAACCACGAGCAGCTGACGCGGAGCCTGGAGGTGCAGACGGACATGAGCTACGTCCAGGAGTGCATCGAGATGAGGAAGGAGCGGATCGTCTTCTTGTTCCTAGAACACTGGAGAAAGTACACCCTCTCAGAGTCCTACAGGCCAAAGTACACAGGCAGACGGGGAAGTCTAGGGGTGGGTCTGGACGACTATAACCGGTTCACCGCTGATCTGGACGGAGACATACCGAGTGAGGACGACAAAACACTCCTGTTCATGAAGTCCAGGCAAGTGGTCGGGAACCTGATTGGCCACTGGAGGACCATCATGAGCCAGGTGCCCACGCGCCAGATCCGCCGGCTCAGTCGGGCCCAGATGATCTACTGGCCGGAGCACTTCCTGCCGCACGTTAATGGAGCACTGGTCAGCTATGAGACCCTGACCCTAGACCTCTTTATGCTGGGCTACTTCCAACTCCTAGAGATGAGCATGTCGCGCAGCGAGCGCAAGTTCCGCCACCTACTGTGCTACGAGATGTTTGACCGCCTCGGCAGCTACAGCTGGGAGCTGATTCGCCAGTTCCACCGCGAGGTCATGGAGGAGATTGAGCAAGGGAAGCGGGACTGGGGGGACAGCTTTGAAGACATTAAGCAAAAGTCCTTTGGTGACTCTGCGGACGGGGGAGGAATGATGACCGCCTCGCTACTTTCAATTGCTCCTGACGTGCCGGTAGTGCCAGTCCAGGAGCCGTTGCCTGCCCCGGAACCAAACCTGTATTTGCCTTTGACTGCTGTACAGGATAGTGTCCAGCTTACTGCTCAGGACTGCATTAACCATGCAGAGCAGAGTGCAGTGGAGGACACTGTTCAGGCAGATGTGAACCCTTCTGAACTGAGTCCAATGAATGGGCCTATGCAGGATGCTGTGAAACCTGAAAGTGTAGCACAAGAGAGTGTTCCAAAAGACACAGTTCAAACATATGTGCAGGATTCTGCGCAGAAAACTGGGCAGGATACTGTTCAGGAGGCTTTGCAAGACTCAATAGTCCAGGTTGTGACAACTGAGACCACAGTACAGAATATAGGGAAGGGTGTGACGCAGGACATTGCACCTGCTCCACTTCAAGTCACCATAGTCACACCCCTATATGAACCTCCGCACAGAGAAGAGCCCAATGAAGACTCAATCAAACTGATCTACGAACTGAAAGAGTTCAGCAATGAGGAGATCAGCAGATATATTGAGCGCAGCTTTGCCTTCTGGAAGGAAAAGGAAGCTGAACTGTTTGATATCTGACCATCAGAGATAAGCAGAGGATATGTGGAATACTCTTTACACACAAGTGTTAGGCTAAACATGCTTGGATAAAGCAGGCAGCAAAGCCACGAGGGAAAGTGTCAAGGAAACTAACCTCCTACGTGGAATATGCTAGGGAGAGAAAGCTAGTCTGTGTTTTAGCCTTGAGGCCTCAGATAACACAAGGAAATGTGACATGGTTTCAGTAAGGAAAGGAGCATCCAGCCTGTGATTGGATGTCCGGCAGTCAAATCACTTTGTCTTGTCCACCACTGATATGAAAAAACTATCAGATGTAATGATACAGTAGAAGAGGGAGTGCTCTAAATGTGCTTCCTGCAATGATTCCCTGAATTCTAAATAGTCTTCGGAACAAATATTTTTAATTAAAGTTTCTTATCTGTTATTGTTTTACAACGGTAGTTCTTTGATATCCAAAGACAGACCCTAAAGTTGGAGAATGTAGTGTGTGAGGTGGTTTATCATCAAAACGTAATATAACATGTTATACTTAAGCAAGTCCATTTGGACATAATGCAACCTACTGTATGTAACATAATGTCATACTGTAGAGAAGAGTTGTGCGAGGTGCCCCTGACCCCCCAGGAAACTGCACCCTTGGCATAAGTGACATTCTAATGATATTTATACTAGTGCATTTTTAGGGTGTATGCTGTTTCACCTTTATTAGTTATTAGTAAAACTTCTACATGAGATACCCTATGCTGTCATTAAGCAGACACACATACAGTAGGTTGGACTCATTATATAGATTTGACAAATATTCCCTTAAAACTCTACAGTCACAATTGACTATCAAACCTTACTCTTACATATACAATTCTTGATTATGAATAATAGCTTCATATTCAAGAATTATGATCACTTTAGCTTCTACAAATTGATAACCAGATCAGAGCCATATATTCCTTGTCCTCAGTCTCACACATAATGCTTGACGCACTAGTTGTTGCATGAGCTCAAAGGCAAGGAATGTACAGTAGGTCTCCAGTGTTGGGTTTAAGTGTTACGGGTTACTCAATGGCTCACATGCTATCATTTTCCCCCAGCCTGTGACCTTAACAGGATGTATACAATGCACACCTTTCAGTACAGATTAGCAGCATGTTGATGATAGCAGGGTCTGTATTCAATGGAAATGGATTATGCTTTTGTTACAGTATTGTTTTGCATCAACACTTTCACATGCTGATATATCAGCAAATAATTCGGTCACCAGATTTAATTTTCATTCTTAAATCCTTCGGATTGTTGATAATGCATGGGGTAGAGTAAGAATATATACAGTATATCTTCACACTTTTATATAGATATTGCATTGATTGCAGTTTATACCTTTTGATGATTTATTATTCAAACTGTTTTGCATTTAGATGTGTTTCTGGATTTTTTTCATTTGTTACAGAATTTGTTCTTATCAATAAAGTTTGAGTAGGTAAGTTTTTGCTTGATTTGTTTGACATTTTTATGCTTTGTTTAGCAGGTCAAAGTAAAATTCATGAGCTGATTTTTTTTTTTTACATGACAGAGGACCATGTATTTTCTACACAAAACATATATATATCTGATCGATGTGTAGCACCTACATGTAGCACCTGCCTTAATTACCCCCAGATGTTGCCGATTGTGACATTTACGTGCTTTTGTCATTAACGATCAACAGTCTAATATTTTTGCCTGAAACATAAAACTTGCTTTTCAAGAATCCCCTGATTGGTTCTCTACTGCCGTTTAAAAGGTCATGCAAAGCTCCCATTCCCAATTAGCCTAGTCAAATTTGGTCCGTGCAATAAGCCTAAATTGAGTAAGAGTATAGTGCGCTTTAAATAAAGATTGTGCCTCTTTTCGCCCTACTAGAGTACTACACCAGTACACATAACAAGGCAGCCAGTCGATGTGGGTATTTCTAAATTTGTCAACCAACATTTATTCCTCTACTGCGACAGACAGCCATGGCAGCAAAGACACATTTTGTCATAGCGTTTTCTCTTCGCCCCTCATGTCCAGATTAAATTCCGCCCCCCTGGGCTAGTAACCCTCTTACTGTCACTTGCTGTCATGCTAGTGAGTGGTGGCTTATTCTGAAGCCACAAGTAGGTTACTCCTTACAGTGGACGACTTCTGATCTACTTTAAACCAATCAATCCGAGGTGGGAGGCACTCTCGTCTTGTGGTAACCATAGCAATAGGTCTATACATAGATTTGAGTACAGGATGGCGTCAAGATTGTAGACTGTAGACATGGTTGAGACTGAGGGTACTGTCTAGATGTCCGGAAACCCAACAGACTGTTATCTAAGGCAATTTATCAACGCAAACACCGGCCCCCCAGACAAATATTGATTATTCATTTGGATAGAAAGATTGTCAACTTACACTGAACAAAAATCTAAATGCAACATGCAACAATTTCAAAGATTTTACTACGTTACAGTTCATATAAGGAAATCAGTCAATTGAAATACATTCATTAGGACTTAATCTATGGATTTCACATGACTGGGAATACAGATATGCATCTGTTGGTCACAGATACCTTAAAAAAAAGGTAGGTGTGTGGATCAGAAAACCAGTCAGTATCTGGTGTGACTACCATATGCCTCATGCAGCACGACACCTCCTTCGCATAGAGTTGATCAGGCTGTTGATTGTGGCCTGTGGAATGTTGTCCCACTCCTCTTCAATGGCTGTTCGAAAGTTTGCTGGATATTGGTGGGAACTGGAACACGCTGTCGTACACATTGATCCAGAGCATCCCAAACATGCTCAATGGGTGACATGTCTGGTGAGTATGCAGGCCATGGAAGAACTGGGACATTTTCAGCATCCAGGAATTGTGTACAGATCCTTGCGACATGGGGCTGTGCATCATCATGCAGAAACATGAGGTGATGGCGGCGGATGAATGGCATGACAATGGGCCTCAGGATCTCATCACGGTATCTCTGTGCATTCAAATTGCCATCGATAAAATGCAATTGTGTTCGTTGTCCGTAGCTTATGCCTGCCCATACCATAACCCCACCATGGGGCACTCTGTTCACCACGTTGACATCCGTAAACCGCTCGCCCACACGACGCCGTACACTCTGTCTGCCATCTGCCCGGTAGAGTTGAAACCGGGATTCATCCATGAAGAGCACACTTCACCAGCATGCCAGTGGCCATCGAAGCTAAGCATTTGCCCACTGAAGTCGATGAGCTTACCTGAGACTGTTTCTGACAGTTTGTGCAGAAATTATTCGGTTGTGCAAACCCACAGTTTCATCAGCTGACCGGGTGGCTGGTCTCAGATGAGGTGAAGAAGCCGGATGTGGAGGTCCTGGGCTGGCGTGGGTACACCTTGTCTGCGGTTGTGAGGCCGGTTGGACATACTGCCAAATCCTCTAAAACGACAATGGAGGCAGTTTATGGTAGAGAAATAAACATTCAATTCTCTGGCAACAGCTCTGGTGGACATTTCTGCAGTCACAATGCCAATTGCACACTCCATCAAACTTGAGACATCTGTGGCATTGTGTTGTGTGACAAAACTGCATATTTTATAGTGGCCTTTTATTGTCCCCAGCACAAGGTGCACATGTGTAATGAGCATGCTGTTTAATCAGCTTCTTGATATGCCACACCTGTCAGGTGGATGGATTATCTTGGAAAATGATCAAATGCTCACAAACAGGGATGTAAACATATTTGTGCAAAACATTTGAGAGAAATAAGCCATTTGTGCATATGGAACATTTCTGGGATCTTTTATTTCAGCTCATGAAACATGGGACCTACACTTTACATGTTGAGTTTATATTTTTGTTCATTGTAAATGATTGAGATGGAGGAGATGGCCAAATGTCACATTACATTTCAAGTAAACCCTGTCCCTGTCCAGTAGTTTTAACTTAATGTCAAAGTCCTATGGCCAATGATTGCATGAGTTGCTAGGTGTGCTCAATATAACTCACCCAGTGCATCGGGTTGGTGTGGTTTTCACTTTTGGGATCATTCCATCAGTCCTAATGTACAAATCCTACCTGGTGAGCTAAATTGAGTCCATCTGCTTTTGAAAATCAACCCAGAGATATACAGTGCCTTGCAAAAGTATTCAGCCCCCTTGGCGTTTTTCCTATTTTGTTGCATTACAACCTGTAATTTAAATGGATTTTTATTTGGATTTCATGTAATGGATATACACAAAATAGTCAAAATTGGTGAAGTGAAATGAAAAAAATAACTTGTTTCAAAAAATTCTAAAGAATTAATAACGGAAAAGTGGTGCGTGCATATGTATTCACCCCCTTTGCTATGAAGCCCCTAAATAAGATCTGGTGCAACCAATTACCTTCAGAAGTCACATAATTAGTTAAATAAAGTCCACCTGTGTGCAATCTAAGTGTCACATGATCTGTCACATGATCTCAGTGTATATATACACCTGTTCTGAAAGGCCCCAGAGTCTGCAACACCACTAAGCAAGGGGCACCACCAAGCAAGCGGCACCATGAAGACCAAGGAGCTCTCCAAACAGGTCAGGGACAAAGTTGTGGAGAAGTACAGATCAAGGTTGGGTTATAAAAAAAATATCAGAAACTTTGAACATCCCACGGAGCACCATTTAAATCCATTATAAAAAAATTGAAAGAATATGGCACCACAACAAACCTGCCAAGAGAGGGCCGCCCACCGACACTCACGGACCAGGCAAGGAGGGCATTAATCAGAGAGGTAACAAAGAGACCAAAGATAACCCTGAAGGAGCTGCAGAGCTCCACAGCGGAGATTGGAGTATCTGTCCAAAGGACCACTTTAAGACGTACACTCCACAGAGCTGGGCTTTACGGAAGAGTGGCCAGAAAAAAGCCATTGCTTAAAGAAAAAAATAAGCAAACACGTTTGGTGTTCGCCAAAAGCCATGTGGGAGACTCCCCAAACATATGGAAGAAGGTACTCTGGTCAGATGAGACTAAAATTGATCTTTTTGGCCA